TCCTCAGGTTTTTAAAATGTTTTTTATGGTTTGATTAAATTATACCTACAATAAAATTAATAAAATTGAATTATTGTCCATGTTAGTACAGTTAATATTAATGTTTGATTACTTAAATCAGTAGCTAATAATCTTGCTTTATAGAAGTTAAAATCAATTTGATTCGGAAAAGCGCGTCATTCGACCGTTAATCGAGAATTAATAGTATTTGTACCTACTATTCGGCCATGTACATAAGCTATTTTTGAACCAAAATGTTGCTTTACATTTAACGATATTTTCTTTAATCAAACAAACGAATGTTTATAAGATCTGCAAGAGGGAAAAATTATAATATAAATGTATATTTAATATTATTCATAATATTTTTGTATACAAATTATTTAATTACCTTTAAAAATGTGAACTGTAAAAATAAAATAATATTTTTGACAATTTAATCCGAATATATAAAAAATGAGATAATATAGTGATATATTATACGGATACCTAAATACTTATAGCTATATTATTATACATGTATTAATTATTTGATAGACATTTAATACATTGTAGTTGCCATTAAAAAGGAAATTGATAAACCAAGCGCGATCGCTTCATAATTATACCATAATACTGCAGCTATAACTATGTCTTTAATCTTTATATAGGTATAGTCAATAATATAATGGTTACATAACATAATATGCTAATTGCTAATAAACAACTTTTTCAAAGTATTTATAAAATATGTATTCAAAGTCTTACAATAATTACCTTGAAAACATTTTTTAGCAACAATTGCAATATATTTTTACATTACTGATATAATATTTGCGAAGTTATATTTATGAAAAGTTGTATTATCATTGCTCCAAAATTATTTTCATGGAAACTTTACAAAATTATTTAGTAAACATTTTTATACAATCATAGTATAATACAACATGTGAGAAGAAAACATTTGTACAATATTAGAAGACAAATATTCATTTCTCAAGCCCTTCACAAAATATTAATATTTCCCAAATGCTGAGTGGGAATGGGATGACTGTTGTGCTATATCTCGGCACTCAGCCAAAGAGGTGAACCGACGGTCCGGCTGTAGTGTAATGTTTTTATGACAATTGTACTTTAAAAATTTGGGTGTCATGTAAAACCATGGAATAACTACACCAGTTTTCTAGACATATTTTAATACAATGCAATATTAAAAATAAATTGTTGTTCTATCATCATACATTGTGCTAAATAATACAGATAGTGTGCATATCTTAATAAAAATAAAATAAAAAAGTAAACTTAATATTAAATAATAATTTAAAGTTAGTATTTATTTGATTAAATTCGATTAATTAACCTCTGGCGATACTACGCAGACATCTCATTACAGGGCAGTGCTAATTGTATTAATAATGAACCTATAGCTTATTTTTATAAATGCGTAGGTCATACATAATATTATTCGATGTACTTACCTATTACCGTTGATAATTAACACTAATTGAAGAAAACTATGTAGCGTATTATTTAAGATACCTAACTCGAATTTAACCTTACCTAACCTCAAGGGAAATAAAAAATAATCGAAGTTTGAGTTCTCACCACTGCAACTAAAGTTTTTTATTATTATTATAATGCTATTGCGTGTAATTTTTGATAGTTATTTGATTCATTTTTATAGATTAATACAGTATTATATAAGTCTTTAGAATCTGATCTTATTAAAGTTATTTATTAAACTTAACACAATATTCCGATATATATTTAATTTAATTTCATACACATATGAATACAGGGCCACACTGAGAAGACTCGGGTGGGAGTTATAAATCGAGTTATATAAAAATAACACTTCTATTTGGTAAGCACATGATTATAATGAAACTACCTTACATTAATTACAAATTATAAATACTATAATTATTGCAATATTCAAAAATGTCAAACTATAATATTATAATTAATTCGTCAGGGGATTAAAACAAACATTTCTAAATGCATATTTTGAAAACAGATTAATTGAAATGTTTCTGGTTAGGAAGGTTTAATATAAAAGATAGTATTTTGTAATTTGGTCCCGATTATTTCAAAATGTCTACCAGATGTGGTTTTTTATTTTTATAGTTTGTACGTTTTATTTAAAATAATAACTTATTACACGATCGTTATTGTTCAACAGTGGATTGTTTATTATTTTAGATCGACTAAATGTGACTAAGTATAAGGTTACGACTTCAAATTCGATCTAAGGCCACTTGATTTTGCATATCAATATTGTTTTTTCACCACGCCTGATGCTTAGCACATACATTACTTACATTGTTGCTGTCAAATTTTTTGTTTTTAAAAGTTAGTGGAACCTACGGTGACGTTACTTACAGAAGTAGGTACTCAGCATTTGAAATGTCCTTAGTGTTGTACGAACATAGTTTAGTATAATATATAGTATGGTAGAGGATGCAATCATAAAAATGATGTACGATGGCCTACGTGACCGTGGGAGACCTGAAATGCTGCATCAGCAAACGACCGACCCGACTTAAGTACTCACGTAGTCACAGGTGTAATTGTTAGCATAGTGCAGTAACCTAGTTTAGACTCACTTTTTAATTTTAGATTCCGAGCGGAGCGGTTATAATGTATTGATTTTACAATGATGTACATATGTTTTTCGCATAATTATTATTTGTTGTGTCTGTGTACACGGTAAGTAGCTGAAATAATTCTTCGATTTTCAACGTCAGTATCTTTTTGTTTTTATTAGCATTTTCTATCCACCATACAATTTTTCTCACTGTACTACACTATTATACTTCATTAATATTTTTAATTTGTTCTATATTTATTCAATGACTAATATGTTTATGTAATTTAAAAGAATTACTTGAAAAAAGTTAAAAATATATTATAAAGAAAGCATTAATTCCTTTTAATAATTTACAGATTAAGCTAGAAAGAGTAGACAGATGTAAAATTATATTAGTTAAACTTATTATTTTAGTTCAACAATTCGTTAGAACTTATAAGTTATTATAAAACATCTTAGATGTTTTTAGTTAGTTAGTAAGTTAGTTTTTTAAGGGGGGGGGGAGGGGTTATTTCAAAGTCAAAATCCTATTGATACAGTCATAGTAATAACTATAATAACTAACAGTGTTTCGAAAGAACGTGGTTCATAAACTAATGTTCACACATTCATGTTCATATTCAGTAAATAATACTCGAACGTCACTGTTTTTTTTCAAAATTAACGTGAATATTTTAATGAATTTGAACGATTATTAAGAGGCTACATTTATTTACTATTTAATAAATAAATAAAATATTTTTTTATTATAATTCCTATTATATAAAAGGTTTAAAAAAAATTTTAATATACGATGACCCAGCGGAGAGAATTCATTTTTTCAATGAACGTAATCGCGTTCAATTAAAAAAAAATCACGAAGGTAAAACTTGAACGAGTTCCATTTTTAAGGGCTAAAAGTAAACCCGAACGAATTAATTTTTTTTAGAGAACGTTGTGATCGATGATAACTAATAACTAATATAGACGAGTGATCCCAAGCACTAGGCCCAAGAACACTTTCAATGTGGCCTGCAACAGTTAAAACATTTTTAATAAGCATTCATTATTATTATAAACGATAACAATTTTTTTTTTTCATATACATTTTAGTTTTTATTTAAACATCGATAATTATCAATATAATATTATTTGAAATTCGGTCTGTTCTGTTTTTACATCCCTCGTTAGTAATCCCTAATTGCCGATATGATATTTTTTATCATTCGTATTTCGTGGTAATCTCAATGCGCTAAAAATAATCGCATTAGGTCATTGGTAACCATTGGTGTTAACGTGTAGGTCTACATATGATATCCCAGACGTCTAGGTAGAAGGTGCATTATACTTAGCCTGTGTGCGATGCGTGCAACCTCGTAGATCGTTTCACCGATGTACATTTTACAGACAATAAGTAAAAAAAAAAGGTTCTAAGTAAAAAGGTCTACGAAAATGTTTGGTGCATAGCTATATATATGGCTCACTGGTAATTTGAACTTGAGACCAATGTAATAGACCATATTATTGATGTAGCCCGATGTAGGTACCTATGTCAATCAGTAGTCCTTGTCCTACATCCTTGGCATCTAATTTATTTTGCCCAGGGCCCTACAAAATTTAACGCTGTTCTGAATCATTGATACTTACATGAATATATTATATAAACAAGTAAGTCTGGAAAATGTTTTTATTCGGGGGTCAGATCCACGCCCATCCGTCCAATTTTTAGGCAGCAGAAATTAAAAAATTCTTCATTGACTATTCTAATACTTACACTACAAGTGATAATAAAATAGTGGCTTATAAATTGTATGGTGTACAAAATAAATTAATAATAATTACGTCGTAATATTTCCCCAATACTGGCCAATCCCGACGTCGTATAATATATTATTATTATCAATGTAAAATGAATCGGGTTTTTAATCGATGCATGTCTATTGGAAATTATTGAAATTTAGCATCCGCGAGAAATGATATCGGTAATCGGGTAAATCATTTTAATCATTTAAAATTATGGGAGTTTCCTGTGTGCGAAATGACCCTTATTTAATGTTCTGAGTTCGCCCGGAATAAGGTATCACCCGGTCATATTTTTGACTTAATCCGAATTCGGATAACAACGAATAAAACGCATTCGGATTAAGTTAAATTATGTTAAATTATGTGCCAGTTAATTTATGTTACCCTAAAATTACTCATGAATGCATCCGAAGAAGTAAGCTGGCTTACACCACAAACATATTTGGTAATTATTATTATTTCAGCTTAGACACCTACACATATTTTTATGGTTTACACAATTTAAATTGGGATGAGTGTACTACGTTTTCCTGCTATTTTTTTGTTTATTGTGCACTTTAGTCAGGTAATCAAAGATAAAATTATATGCAATTTCCCCACCACTGCCATAGTTGATATTGTGAAAAACACGTATTTATAAAATAATGCATCTGTTACCAAAGTGATAGTCGGTCGACGATTCTAAATATTGAAAGTTTTGGCAGTGGAACTACAATACTCTCATTGACTCAGAAAATTCAATTCAAATTTTCACTAAGACTACTGGCGCATCAAGCTATAAAAAGGTATAACTTTAAAAAAAAACACATTTTGAACTAAACACATTTGGACATCATCATCAAATTTAAATATGATAAAATAGATTTTAATTTGTAGTTTGAACATTTTTTAATTTTAACCGAATATAAGCTTATATTTATATATACATTATCCTTATGTTAAGCAATTTTATTTAAACATGAAACATAATATTCTCGACATTTCATCAATTGGTTATATTACCGGACTATATGTTTTTACAATTGTAAATATTTATTAATTTCATATTTTTACTTAATACTTATAATAAACTATATAAAAACATCCCCTGAACAAGAATTATATTTTCCGAATACAAAAGGACACGTGTTGTGTCGGTCTTAAAACGTACAAGATAGTACATTTTAGGTTCACATTAATTCATTTTGCTTTATTATTTTTGAAATGTATGTGAATTAAACTTATAAACAATTTGAATGTAAGTTTTTTATCAAGGGCATTATGCAGGCTTTAATTTATATTTTAATTGCGAAGCAAATTATGAGTATTTTAAAACCGCAATGTTTTTGAAAATAATAATATTGTCAATTATCATAACTTGCTTCGAAATTGAAATATCAATAAAACCCTTCGAAATACTCTAGATAGTAATATTTCTTTGAATTCTTTCTTTATAATTGGTCAATACGGAGATAACACATACAGGTGTCCTCTAACAACAACAAAAAAAATTACCTATATTTTTAGAATAACTATGTACCTTGTTAAAATATACTCATATAGTGATATAATATATGATAAAATAGATTTTTATTTTTAATTTGAATAATTTTTAATTTTAACCAAATTTAAGCTTATATTATGCTTATTTAAAGCCATTTTATTTAAACAAAAAAAAATATTCTCGAAAGTGATAAATAACTTAGATAAATGAAAAATGACTTATCATTATTCATCATGTAAAAATATTTCAAAAACCATTGTTAAGCAAATATATTTAATGTATTATGTAGCTCTTGTGGGGGATGCGTGCGTCAGGGCTTTGTCACTTCAATTTATTTATATTTATTTATAAATTGTATTAATATTTAATGATATTATTATTTAACAATATTTCATTTATTTTTATTTATTTATTCGCCAAGAGTTAATTATAAAAAAAAATTACAATAGTAAATAAAGTACCAAAATACAAACAGAATAGTTTAAATAGATGAATGGTCATCTCAACACTATTACTATTACTATTACTACTACTATTACTACAACTATTACTATTACTACTACTATTACTACTAATATTACTATTAGATTATTATTCTTATCGGTAATTATAGAGTAGGTACTAAACTAATCAAAACAACACACAAAATCAATTATACAGAAATTATTAAGAAAAAGAAACAAAAACATTAACCGATAAAATAATAGTACAATAAAATGATTTAAGGAATACAAATATCAATATATATAAAGTTGTTCGTATTATTGATTGCCTGTATTTTAATGTCACGTTTATATATTTAATATTGGATGTGTAGTTTGAATCTACTTGTGAAAAACGTTTTCTATATTTTAATTTTCGTATCGTATAAATTTCTAAATTTTTTTTAGGCGAGTGATATTATCTTATATGTAAAAATATTCATGGTACAAAATCATGCAATAATTGTCTTAAAAAACGAGAAATTCATATTTATTCTTAACAATGTTTCTATACCTATAAATGTTAAATTATTAAATAATTGTAAAAAAAATATAAATATAATATTGTATTAAAATTTAAAATATGGTCAAACTTATACAAATACATAACAAGTTTTTGAAAAATATCATGTTATACATTTTAAATGTTGTCACGGTATAAAACGTTATTAAACATTATACTCACATATGTTTCGTTTTGAAATTCAGCAGTATCAGAATTTTCTGATTTTTTATTGAACAATTATTTTTCCATCTTGTAGGAATTAGCATACGTATTTTCGTAGCAAGATTGAAAGGTCCTATGTCAACTTTTTTCTAGAGTCGTTTTTTTGCATAAATTACTAATTAGTTTAATTGACTGAAAACTGAGTATTATGACACACCAACGGGTCTTGTACAATGTACTATGTACATGTTATTAGAAAGATATACGGAATGAAAATGTTTAGTACAATTAAAAATTAATTAACCATGATAATCGTTGTAGTAGTTTTAGTTTAATATAGCCTTTTTATTCTGATAAGTTTGTGTAAGTACGAAAATGTTTTATCACCGTGTTATTCAATGTTGGTTAAAGCTAAAATGTTTAATGAACAATATAATTAGTCGATGATACGATAAAAATATAAATTGCAATTTTTATTTAATAGCACCTATTTATAATTCGAATGCAAAAACAATGTTATCGATTTTAATTTAGCCAATTTATAATTTGTTTTGATGAGAAATAATTGGACGCAGCCCATCCGGCCTACACTAATATGCTAATGATACAGCTGTTTTAATTCAAGACAAATAAATTGATTCACTTTTATTAAACTCAAATATTTGCATAAATTAAATTAAAGCTTTTAAACCTTTATTTAAAAAATATTTGAACTAATTTGTATATTAATATAGACATAATATATAATACCAAACATTCCTCACGAATACTGTCCTAGAAACAACAGAAAATATGAATATTTTAATTTCTAAATACAAAAAACAGTTAGGAGCAAAATACATATATTCCTGTATTCCATTAGTATTCTTAAAATTATTATTTTTTGATTTATATGATTTAAAACATTTTAAACTGCATTTGAAACACATAGATTTAGTAGGTATTGAAATTAAATAAATACTCTTCACAAGCATTTAATTAATCTACCGGAAGATTACAAATATTAAAAGCTCTTACTTTTATTTTATTGTATTCATGCAATGCAAGTTATAATATTATGTATGCACAACATAGACATTTTTTACAAATAAATATATTAATGCTATTCATTACTTTTTTAACGAAATAAATATATCATTAAACACAAAAGTCTTCTTCTTCTTTCTTCACACAAAAATCAGAATGCAATCATTAAATAATTTATCATTGAATTCAAATTCTGACTTTTATTACAGTGATCTACTCAATGATGTAGTTCTATTTATTTTTTTTTTTTTGATTTCATGATGACTTTGTATTAAAAATATTTCTAAAAGTTCGATAAAATTTCTTAAACCATAAAAGAAATAATATTTCTAATTATCAACATCATTAATACTATTCGACTTATGATTAAAAAAAAATAAAAAACGTTTAGAAAAGATGTTACAAACAGTATTTTGTAGTGTTCAACAAACAACAACTAGTGATAGTCGTATAATAAATAATTATTATAACTAAAACTAAATTATACATATTACTCAATATTAGTATCTTAATTATTAATTAACAGTTAATTCGTTAGAAACAATAATAATTAGTTAAAAATAGCAAATGATTAATAATTAAAAGGACTAGTGGAGCAAAGACCTGCACTTATAACTTTTTGGGGAACTTAGTCCCCTCATGCCTCTCCCCACAATTTAGACATATATAATATAATGTATACTAACGACACAAACTACGTTCCTAATTATTACAAGTCTGTAACTACACATACTGTTATATACTAAAACTACAACTTGAAAATTCTTATCTTATCTCTGTATGTAACTATTTATAAAATATAAATTTGTTTTATACAATAATTTAACTAAGCAACCTGTATATGCATATATCCATGACGATTTTGTAAGCATATTCGCTTTACTTTTATGCTTAAATTGTGCATATATTCAAATTCTGATTTTCGGAATTTATATATACATTTAAATACTATCTTTTCGATTAGCTGGAAATACATACTTTTGTTTTTCAAATAAGAACCCCCACTCCCCCCCCCTTTTAACTGAATAACTAAAAAGTAAAATTTTTAAAAACAGTCAGCAAATAATAAATATTACATATTATAGCTTATATTTTTCTAAACCCATTTTTAAGGATTTTTATAATCATTAGTTTATAAATATTAAATTTTAATAACTTAGAAAATACTCATTAGAATTTTGATTTACATATTTAAACGTTTTCAAGAAAATACATAATATTTATGGATCATAATCACTGTGTATATACATTTTTTTTTTAAGTATTAATATTGATGCTTCTTATGGTATAGAGAGATCTCAAAATGGTGGTTAAAATTATCATCATCGGGGCTGGAGTTGGTGGTACAGCAGCAGCTGCTAGACTTAGCAAAAAAGGATTTCAAGTAGAAATTTATGAAAAAAATTCATATAATGGTGGAAGATGTTCACTCATTTATCAAAATGGACATCGATTTGATCAAGGACCATCATTATATCTAATGCCCAAAATATTTGAAGAGACTTTCGAAGATTTGGGGGAGGACATTAAAAATCACATAGAGTTATTGAAGTGTCCTACTAATTACAATGTACATTTTCACGATGGAGAAACTTTCGAACTCACTACAGATATATCAAAATTATCTCGTTCTTTGGAAAAATATGAAGGCGGCGGTGAAGCAACATTAACCAATTTTTTGACCTATTTAAAGCAAACTCATGTATACTATCAAAAGAGCGTTAAAAAGGCACTCCAAACTGATTTCCAACATTGGTATGATTTTTTCAATCCAAGACACATACCAGATGTAATTCAACTGCATCTATTGGACACCGTTTACAACAGAGTTTGTAAATACTTCAAGAGCGACTACATGAGAAAGGCGTTTTCATTCCAGACTATGTACTTGGGGTAAAAAGAAAAATGCTAATTAATATTAAATTTTAAACAAAACTAAGATTGTGTTTATGTTTTCAGAATGTCACCATATGATGGTTTAGCTCTCTATAGTTTACTGCAATACACTGAAATAGCAGAAGGGATATGGTATCCAAAAGGAGGCTTCAATAAAGTTTTACAATGTCTCGAAAAAATTGCTGTTCAATATGGGGCAAAATTCAATTATAATGCTTATGTAGAAAAAATAATAGTTGATGACAAAGGAGTGGCGAAAGGAATCAAATTGGTAAATGGTGATGTAGTTAATAGTGATATTGTGATTTGTAATGCAGATCTGACGTATGCGTACAACAAACTTTTGCCAAAAACATCATATGCTGTAAAACTCGGCAAAAAAGAACATACTTCTTCTTCGATATCATTTTATTGGTCTATGAATACAATTGTGCCGGAATTGAATGTACACAATATTTTTTTGGCTGAAAAATATAAAGAAAGTTTTGACCAAATATTCAAGGATCATATGTTACCCGACGATCCATCGTTTTATGTTAACGTACCGAGCCGCATCGATCCGACAGCAGCACCAGAAGGAAAAGACTCAATCATAGTTTTAGTACCAGTGGGACATTTATCAAATGTACCTAATATTGATTTCGATCGACTTGTAAACAGAGCCAGAGAACAAGTAATTGACACATTAGAGAAAAGATTGAAGATATCTAACTTCAGAAGTATGATCGATCATGAGAAAGTGAACGATCCGAGATCATGGCAAAAAGAATTCAATTTATGGAAAGGGTCTATACTAGGATTATCTCATACATTTCTGCAAGTTGTATGGTTCAGACCTAGTTTAAAATGTAACATATTTAAAAACTTGTACTTTGTTGGTGCTTCTGCACACCCTGGTACTGGTGTACCAGTAGTTTTATGTGGTGCAAAATTATTAGAGAATCAGTTGTGTGATAGGTTCTTGGGGAGTAAAGTTCAAGTAAGCTTGTGGTCGAAGTGCGTTACATTCTTAATCGGCCTCTTAGCACTTCTTTTTGTCTGGGTTTCTTCCATATTTTATAAATAATAAAATATGTTTGTATACATTTAAAGCGACTTTAATTTTCTTATTTTAAAATTTATAAAAACTTATAAAAACTTCGAAGTCGCATTTAATGTTTTAGCTTAGAATAAATAATAATTGTTTCTATAGTTATTTACGATAGACAGTCAATTTTAATATATGGTGAGTATAGTATCAGTTTAGTTTTAAATATGAACATGGGCAGTACAAAATATTTTTAAATTCAAATAGAAAAAGAAAGTCTCTTAACTGAACTTAATATTAATAGTATATATTAAAAAAATATGAAATAGTTAGCAAAGCTGTGCATGTTGTGTTCATAGCATGCTATGAATAGGGTTGAATATATCTTTAATAGGGTTGTTTCATAAACAGAAGTGTGAGCATGTACGGCAAAAAGCTCGCGTGGCTAATAGCTTTGAAGGAAGGAACGCGGAGGGAGATCGAGAAATGAAGCTAGTGCATATTTTATGAATCCATAGATATTGACGTATTATGTATACTATAATAATATAAGTTCAATATACACATCAAACATACTCTACGCTATTATAATATGATTAAATGTTTTAATGTGAGAATAGTTGGAATACAATAATAATATGTACGATTACCATTTGTATTGTGGGCCTACATATTATAGTATATAATAATGTGATGTTAACTTCGCTGACCGTGAGTACCAGTAAAGACAATTTCGTTTGAATTATATTTTACCTCACTATTTTGCATGTAAAGAAACAGCAAAGTCAATAGCCGTGTAATCGAGTGTCTAGCTAACAGCCATTAGTCATTACCGCCGTAAATGAATGGCCCAAACTGGCTGGATACGGTACCCCTGCTCGGTGCTTTGTCTACAACTGTCGTTTCAATTGGAAGTCGAAGAGAGTACCGTTGTTTGTATAGTGTATTTTTGTAGGTTAAAAGTGTTACGAGTGTCGATAGCCATATTCGGTTGTCTAGCTATGAGTTAACAAAAAAAAAAAAGAATCGCAAAACAACACTTTGTTCCTATTTCGTATGTATAAAAAAGTATATTATAAATGATGTGTGTATATATTATTGTATTCCAACTATTCTCACATTAAAACATTTTATCATAACCAGAGTTCAGGACTTACAACACTTATAATCATCAAATTAAGAGTTGAAAAAAGCTCTTTGATACTTCATTATAAACACTCAAAAATATCAAAACAAGTAAAAAAAAGCATGGTAAAATCTATCGACACAATTTTTTTTATATAATCGTTTAATTTCTATACTTAGACACATAAAATAAAATTCGTCTTTACAAAAAATTAAAAACTTATAGCTCTTTTGAGTTTTTGAAAACATTTCAAGTTCTTTTTTAGACTTCTTATAGATTTTCTGAAAAATTGTCTAATAACCCAAAAACTATTATATTATATATGCTGATTAGTAGAGAAGCGAGCAATTTTTTTGTTTTTTTAGGAAATATGGAAAAAATTAAGAAAAAAACCAGAAATTAAAGAAATTGTCTAGGTTCTTGTCAGTGGCAAGTGTCATCACTCATCACAAATCATAATTAATCAGAGATATACAAAAAAGCATCAGGAAAAACTTTCATATTTCATAATTGAACGTGCTGTAACACTTCCATAGCACTCTGCTAGTTTTTAATATGTCGAACCATAAAAATAACCCAATAACCTTCATAAGTCCGAAGCTCTGATCATAACATAACAACACATATCATTTATATTGTAGTTTTATTTTTATATATTGTGTGCATATTATTGTATTCCAACTATTCTCATATTAAAACATTTGATCATATCATAATATTTATTATGTACAATGTTTATATTAAACTTATAAATTATAATATACTAGTGAACATAACACGTCAATATGTATGGGTTCATAAATGTGATTATTTTTTTTTTTTTTTAGTTATATTAGTTAATTAAATACATAATACGTCAATATCCATGGGTTCATAAATATAATAAATATATTTAAAAATATTGACATCCATTAAAATTACTCGCTATTGCTTAAATCTGAAAGTGTTGGAGTGTAAGACCGAAGTGTTTTTCATTAGAACACATTTTTATTGTTATACTATTCTAAAACGTAGCATTTAATGCTTTAATACATTTATTTATGTAAATTTAATATTTTCAAAAAATATATACTATATTTAGGCATACAGCAACATGTGTAAAATGTTTTATTATATAGGGACATATAATTTTTATGAAATGTATACAAACGTCCAAATAAACAAAGTATTGTTTTTTTTTCAATCATATATTTTGTTAATTTAAAAAAATATTTATCAAAAACATTTACTTATTTTTTTTTTATCGTACTAATACATAATATTATAACATAATATAACTAAGTTTTATGCCACTTGTAAAATTAACTATAATTTGGTATATATCCTTTTTTTGTTTTTGTAATGTTATATTATGTTTATACCAGCTGTCTAGTCTTACGATGTCTGTGCCAAAGATTTGTGTTTGTAATAAACTTATTTAAAAAAATGTTTATGCCATATTTCTTCTGATAATTATAATAGTATAATATTATAATATGTAACTAATTGCAACCATTTAAACAAACGAAAACAGTTTTTGTTTTTTTGCCAACGGAAAAAACATAATATGTGTAAGCTGCCTATAGGAGTTTAAAAAATGAGCTATACATACAATCCAATTCTAAAGTAATCTATTGATAAAACTTTTGTTGAAAACGATTCAGTAATTTTTTTTAAGGATATTAACTTTAGATGAACCAACATCTAATTTTAGTTACATAACCTTACTTTCTCGGTGAAAAAATTAAAAAATACAAAATAAAGGCTATTTAGGTATATCTTGGTTTGATGTACCTCAAATTTTCAAAACAATTTGGGTCGGTGTACATCGCTTTCCGAACTCATTCGACCAAGATGGACCATTTGCTTGTGACGGATTTTATGTCTATAGAACTTGCTGATATAAATCTAACGTGGTTCACTACTCTCTGATATCTTCAAGAACAATTTTAAATCTTCAAAAAATCGGTTAAGTAGTTTTTGAGTACCTATATACAGACTACAGAGTACAGATACACATTCAATTCTCATATTTGTTTTAAGATTTGATTTATCTATTCAAAACTACAAACATGAAGAATTGATACATTATTTAACCTCATCTGCTCGAGTAACCAATGAGAACTATTAATAAACAAAAATTCCATCGTAAATCTCAAAATCCCTGATACACACACACACACACACATACAATTTTCATCACAACTATAAATAAATCCGAATCGAATTAAATGTCCGTGCTGCAATCGGCATTGGCCAGTATGGGCCAGACAAATTAAACGAAAAGATAAGCCCGAAAAGATAGCTCGGAAATATTAGCGCCAGCCACCAAACTGATTAATTTAACAGTCATAACAACTTGTAGACAGACTCAATCGATATCTAATACGCATAGGAAACTCAGTTATTCGAGGTCAATGGTCACAAAAACAAACCGGCGTATTTTGGGCCTACTAAAATAAATTTCAAATAAAAGTTGCATAGAAATATCAAGAGAATTATGAACAAGGTTATTACATTTTTTATCACGAACACATAGCTAGTCTAGCGATATACAAACTTACGATAACATATTTTGTATGATTGTTATATTTTACTCGTAAATTTATTGCATTATAATTCGTACCTACCTATACCATGGTGGCAATTAAGGAATCATAGTAAAATAATATATAATTGCCGTGTTGCATAAAAAATGTATTAATTGAATGGTTTAATGAAATTGTTTGAATCAATCGTGGACCTCTAAATCATGTCAAAGAGTCCAACGCTCACTATATTGATTCGTTCAATTTATAGGTATAGTTCATTTAATGCAATTCGGCATACCTATGAGTAGATACTGTGCTCATGTGGTAGTTTTTTTATACAAATTGTTATTTTATATTTTAATATTTTAAATTTCGTAGAAAATTTGGGCCACCAATTGTATCTATAGCATAAGCGTAGGTTAGGTTAAACAATTTGAGGGAGATTTAGCTTTCTTAATTAAGTCTGTGTATAGACCGCTAATAAACTTACAAATATGCCCTTGCCCCTTGCAGTCGTACAACTGTATACTTATTTTTCAATTTAAAATATAATTCTTTAATTGACCTTAAAAGTCAATTTGATCGTGCTATATGAACTGTTGGTCGTACATATTTGATAGTAGAGAGGTTAGATCACAAGACGGTGGCCAAATGAGTATAGAACCTCCATATTTCGTTAAAAAATGTCCACGTTTTTTTAAAATCTAAAAAGCATAAACAAGTCGTTGATAATATAACATCCTAGCCAATTTATAATATATAAAAGAAATAGGCTTACTTCATACCAACAACTAAAACAGTTAATCATAATATATATTATTATTTCTGATGTCAATATCCCTTTTTCTCAACAAAAAGGTACCGCACCATAAACAATAATCTACACACCAAATGATGCGTTAGGTCAAGTTCTTACTTCCGCCTCTGACATCACTTAGTGTTGAAATGCCCAATTTCGTTAAAAATTACGTTTAAATGAAAAAAAAATCACCATTAGCCAACGTATATATTGGATACACATTTAACAAATACATTTTTGCTAATATACAACCAAAAACGACTACAGGACGTGGAAAATAATTCTTTCTTCAAATGAATTTTCAGATATTGATATTCATTATAGTACATTATTGTAACACAAAATATGAATAAGAAAAAAACGATGTAAATAATAAATAAAAACACATAATTTAATTTTAATAATTACAATTTTTTTTAATTAAATTTTTGTGTAAAAACAATTGACAACTTGTGTATTTAACATTGTTAAATATACAAGTTTGGACGATTAATGGTGTCCAAGCAAGCCAATAGAAAATGTTCACCAAGTTGGCCACTCTCTTATATATTAAAATTTAAAACTCTCTAGTTGATAGTTTATGGTGCCTAAGGCCTAACCTATATTATTTGGAGTAACTTTGTATTACTTTACAGTTCATATAAGTGTACATTTAACAAATATTTAATAAAAAATAATTTCATATTCATTTTCGTTTTTATTTTTCTTAAATAATATTATGTACGTAATAGGTACCTATATAATCATAATATCGCAAAGTCTAATACTACTATCAACATAGTATAAATAATTTATTTTAAAAAAAGGGAATAATTATAATTACCTACAGGTCTTAAGGTCGTTGTTTAAAAAAAATTAACTAATAATCTATACAAGAATAATGTACATATTTAATATATCTGTTTAATTTGTTATCAACATAATATGAATAATTAGTAATTAATTATATAAAACATTTTTTGTACTAAAAAAGTTATAGTTAGTAGTAATTAAAATTATTTAAATAATTAAAATAAACAAAAAAAATCTTGATAACATATTTTAACTCAAACCTCAAAATTGCTCGACGTTGTGTATATTAATACTAATTACTAATTGGAACGTTAATTATTGTGCATGGTTATGTTAGATGTAGCGTAGTGCATCACATCATATTTTCCATTTACCTAATTAAATTATTACCTCAGACTTTTTGGTAACCTACAACCTAGAACCTATACTATTGATCTTGTTTTCGCTATCTACATGCGTCAACCACTAAACTAAACGCGATAAACTATAAACTCACGAAGTCCATAATTTTAAAACTTAGACCTCAACCACCTAATTCTGACTTCACTATCGTTTTCAATGCATCTATAATTAAATCTAGACCTATACAGTTTAAAAAAAAGTTTTAAAAGTTTAAAAAAAAAAACAATGTAGGCACCCATTTCACATGATCAAGGCACTCATTTTAATAAGTAATATCAGTGGTTTGTAACCGGAGCGTCCACCGGAAAGACTAGAAGATTTTATACTTTGTCTGGCACCGCTCGTAAAACTTTTAAATTATGTGGCCCCAGAGTCCAAAAAGGTTGCCGACCGCTGATC